AGGGAACCAGGGTGAGTTGGTCTACAAAAATACATCATCACTGAAGCACTCTATTGACAGCCATTAAAAGTAGCCATGTATTCTGAGTAAATAAGATTCTATAAGCAAATATCTTACAAATACAACATATTTCCCAGCATGCATTTAATTCCTTAGCTGCAAGCTATCCAGTTCCTCTCTTTTATTTTCCGTTCTCCTCGACTCACAGGAAGTACAGCCCTCATTTACAGCTTGAGTCGTAACTTTGCTATCCCAGTGTTCCTTTGTGGCCATGCTTGTTTTGTGTGTTTCCCATGTTCTTGAGATGAAGGGCATATTTCTTGTCTACTTCCTGTCTCAGTATAACGCCTATAGCTGTAGTCATGGATTTGGGACTAATACAGTTTCACTGAATAATACATATGTCTTTGAAATAGCATAATTGATATCAATTATTCAACCGTGTCTCCAGCATTGTGTTACGTTTCCAGAACTTCCTGCTGAGAATGTAATGGACATAGAGGTCACGTTGGTCTCAAAATTTTAAGAAAATTTCAAAACAGCTGTGTTGCAAGACTGAAGCCTCGTGTTATATACTCTCTTACGGACAGGATGAAAGCTTTTCTTGTCGTTGGCAGTTTAACGTGACTGTTAAAATTTTCATCTGTTAAAGTTATTGTGATGGGCATTAAAGGTGTGACAACCTTAAGACTGCTTTTTGCAGCACTTGAGTGGGCACTGTAAACTGCCCTCACGTCAAGGTCATTAACTCCACTTCGACGAGAGATAGAAACAGCACAGCAGTAGGATCCCACACCCTCCGTCTGTCAATTTCATGCTCTCTGAACCAAAGGCTGTGAGAAGAAACTTGCAGAATATCTTGGATGGGGACGTCTTAGCTCAAATCCTGTGGTGTCTGCTGAGTGTGTGGGTATATGTTTTGTTGAGTCTGCACGTTTGCTAGTATGTGTAGTTCACACTTGAATAAAATTGAGGGAAAAAAATCATAATAAAATGATTGTAAGCTTAAAAAGTGCAAGAAACATTATACAGCATATTTCCAAGTCTCTGTGTAGTACTGCAGCTGTAGTACTGTAGTACTGATGTAGCTAAATATATATTGTTTTAAGAAATGGATAACGTATTGTACAGTAATTATATTTATGAGTGTGTGTATATATATCCATTCAAACATATTGTTGCCATTGCCATATACTCACCTAACTACATGAAACTGAATGGTGTGACGTTAAATCAAAAAGAATATTTTGCATGCCACTCTATATGATTAAATAGTCACACCATAGTATAGGTATGTATACTATAGCATGTATCATGTAGGTTTAATTAAATAAAACAATATTCATAAATTCAGTATTTATAATTTTCTAACTAGGTGAAATTTTAATTAACTATAATTATTAAATTCATTTACACAAACCATGTATTTTGCTGCTTAAAATTTATTTTTTTTGGTAATGTATGCTTGCACACACACATATGCTGTATATCATGAAAAAGTAAAAAATCCAGTATCTCAAAATATTAGAATATTTCCTAAGATCAATCAAAAAAAGGATTTGCAAAACAGAAAAATTCAAGTTCTTTAAAGTATGTTCATTTATGCACTCAATACTTGGCCGGGGCTCCTTTAGCACAAATGACAGCATCAGTGAGGTGTGGCATGGAAGCAATCAGCCTATGCCACTGCTGAGGCACTATTGAGCCTTCAGCTTGTCTGTATTGTTGGATCAACTGTTTCTCATCTTTCTCTTGAAAATATCCCATAGATTCCATATTGGGTTCAGGTCCGGCATGTTGGCTTGCCAATCAAGCACAGTAATATCATGATCAGCAAACCACTTGGAAGTGGTTTTGGCACTGCGGGCAGGTGCTAGAGTCCTGCTGGAAAAGGAAATCAGCATCTCCATAAAGCTTGTCAGCAGAT